ACATTCTTCTTAGCTAGCCTATTGAAAAACATGGCCACTTTCATGTGTCTACTCCCTCGATTGGTTAGAAAATGTATAGTTTGATGTGATGGAGAGAAAAGGAACAGCTGAACAGCTGGCAAACTGCCTAGTCTTGCCTGATTCGCAGCTTGAATGGCTGGCTAAGTAAGTGGAAGGCGGGTGTCAAAAACGTAACATTAGTATAACAACAAAAATGAATGTAATAGAGTATATATTGAGTAGATTCACTTTGAATCAGGCAGCATCACTCAAACATTAAGAGGATGGTGCGCCAAAGAGAACAGTGACAGCTGGTTTATAAAGGTTATTAATTTGTTAATTTCTCAGAAGATGGCATCAGCGCACAGGCGTGGTTTTAATGTCCATCAGTTGCAGAAACAGAATCACCAAGGATATGCTTCTTGTTGTTAAGTACCCTTGAATCGGTTCCGACCCACAGCGAGCCTATGTAAGGATATGTCATACGTCCTAAAACATAGCCTCTAGTCAGATCCTGAAGTTCCTGTATTTTGAAGCAGGCTACACATAGATAATTTACTAAAGAATCCAATGCCTATGTCAGAATGCGCTTTGCTAAACTATTTTACTAAACTATTGTTTGACCTGAAGGTGACTCCAAGGAATCAGTTCTTTCAAGGCTCAAAAGCACACCTCAGAGCCGATGGTGTTGTGATTCCAGAAGAAATTGTGTCCCAGGCAGGTTGGAAGAATGTACTTGATAAATGTCTAGAAGAGTTGTCAGCGAGTACTAGATTAGTCCACTTATTTCAGCAAACAACAAACTTTATTTATTCTCTTTGGGAATAAAAAGTCCTAGTGCCCTTAAAGGAGTCCTAGTGTGGTACTGTAGGATAAGCTAACCACAAGGTCGGCTGTTCAAACCCACCAGCTGCTCCTTGGAAACCCTATACAGGGTCATTATGAGTCGGAACCAACTTGATGGTACTTAACAACAACAACAGTGCCCTTAAGGAGTCCTGATAGATAAGCACTAGACTACTAACTGCAAGGTTGGGCATTCAAACCCACCAGCTACTCCTCAGAAACCCTATACATGATCACTATGAGTTGAAACTGACTCCACGGTACTTAAGGACAACAACAAAATGTGCTTTTAAATGTTTTATATTTGGAAATATTGCCAGGATTGCTTTAAAAGGTATAAAGTGAAAAGTTGATGTCTCACTAACAGTAGACTTAACATTTGAAGTCCCCTAGTTCCAGGGCTAATGACAAGCACAACACACTGCTAATTTCTTCATTCTTTGGATACTCCCACTTCTAAATTCTTCTGCTGTGTCATTGTATGTACCTAGGGGAGAATGTTCTTCATGTCCGGGATGCTGACACCCAAGACAAAATATTGCAAGCGCTTCACCTTCAATTTGGTAAACAGTACCCTTGGTGAGTAGAGAAGTGTTTTTTTAGCGGTGATTTAAAAGGGCAGCTGCCTCAAGCACCATTTGAAAGCTGTGATCTCTGTTTAGTCGTCCTAACACAGGTCTCATTTGACATGCCTGTGGGCCCCTAATCTTGGTTACACCGGGCTTGCTAACATTTTACTCTTTCAAGCATTCCAATGTAGAATAATTTTTTACTTTTCTCAGTTGATAACATTTTGTTAAGTAATACTTGTTTTGCCTAATTTGAATTTCTATTAGTATTCAAATGTCACTGATTTTCTTTAAAATCAGTCTATCTAATTAAAGCATTTTAATTAATTCAGACAGCCCTGCTTTCTATTTAAAATTATGAGAATTTTCTTATATTTGAATGTCATTTCTGAATACCATTTATTTTACCAGCAATGTAAAGATAAAAATTCAAAAGAAAAAAACACTGTTTAAAGTTTCATATTCTTAAATTGACTTAATAAAGATAATGTTTCTTTAAAATATGGTAGCTCGTGTTGAAAATAGTTGTATTTCAGTCAACAGTGAAATTTGCATTGGTAATATGTGGGTACTTAGTGGTGCTGTAG